TGCAGGTTCTTAGTGACTGTAAGAGTTCGTGCCCTGAGTGTATTTACTCTTTGTACTTATTGCATCTTTCCACGCAAAGCTATCCTTTACACTAAGCTTGGTATTGGATTTTCCGCAAATATTGATTAGACTTCTCTGGGTTCCTTTGCTCATGGTGGTTGCCCTGAGGCACGGGATCTGACCAAAAGGTACAACACGATCTCCAAACCGCATGGGCACAGCAGAATACACGAAAGGCACGGCAGGGTGCCAAAAGGCACAGAACCAGAAGCAAAATCTCATGGGCACAGCGTGTTCGGCACAGGTGCAATGAACTAGCATTTTGCACGAAACACTGCACACACTGCCTCTACTTTTGCACGTGAAGGCTTGCCTTGCACGACGAGAAACCAGTGGGCAGAGCACATTCAGACCAGTTCGCATGAGTCAAGAACAGCCACAATTTTCTGCATACACTGCGTTGAAGCGAAAACGGACATGTTGAGGCACGGCACGTGCAAGAGGAGCAGATCTTGTTTGCGCAACATTTCGCCAGACTGACCTAAGACGGCTCCATGCAACCTTTGACTGCGTTTCTTGGCGGGATCATGAACTCAACTGTCCTTCTGGGTTTATTGTCTTGGTCACCAAGACTTGGTGGCAATCCACATAGTGTGTGCAAGCCTGCTTGAAGGAGCGCAGGACTTGGGATTGTGTGACACTTCAGGGCGTAGATCAAAAGTTGAAAGATGTTCTAAGATTATGTCAACAACAACTTTAGGAAACGCTGCGGGCACGCAGCCCGCTACGACTTTTGGTAGCCTCCAACACGTTAGGGCTATTGCCTAGCAACTATACGTGCCAACTCCTACACTTCCAGGTCACCCTCCAACAAACCTGTGACTGTTCGGGCCCAACCCCTCTAAGTGGACAACTCAAGACACTGTCAGGTGGGGGTCCAGTCCACCTGGATGGTGTGTGAATCCCTATGTGTAGGGATTACACGTCGGCATATATCCTATTATTCCATCATGGAGTGTCTGGGAATCCTGTTCCTCTTCCTCCACCGAGTCCACAGCCCCGGAAAAGGTCGGCCTCAGAAGGGTCCTCCATGCCCGACGCCTCGCACGCACGAGGCCAGGGCGCCCGGGGCGGGCGGAAGTGGTGGGGAAGCGGGAGCTGAACTCAGAGAGAGATGCCTGGCGGTGCTGACAGTTTGGGAGCCTGACAGTTCTTGTTTTGGGACTCCCAAACGCCAACGCGATGCATCAAGCATACCAAATCAAGCACCCCTTGAAGGTTCCCCATGAACACTTCCCTTGCGATTGAACCCATCAAGTGGTACCTAGGAAGTTTCTGCGCAACTGACTTCGAACTGCCAGACGCAGTTGCCAAAGGCTTGTCGACCCCCCCGTACCATTGGTTCACCATCCAATAGCTATCCTGACAGAGTGATGTTCCTGTAAGCTATGTCATTAGATTCCACTAATTCCACGTACTCTTTACAAACGCACAGAGATGCAAAACTACCATCGGAATCGTCACAATAAACCCATTGCACCAACCTGGAAACCACCTGAAAATTCCAACACCCAAGTTGTTCAGAACGTCCTCGTTCACCATCATTCACCCTTATTCACTTCACTGGGGGCCACATGACGATTTGTCCAATAGCTGTTTCGTTCCCACCTTCACACATGGGTGTGAAGTAGAAGACGGAGACCTCCCCAAGACCTCCTGGAAGAAGGGAACCCATTGGTTGGGAGGTTCCTCTATCAAAAAAGATTCGAATACTAGCGCACATGGTTAGGGAATAGCTATGTCCTTGATCGTGACTGCCTGGACATGCCTAGACCATGGAGAGTCTAATGAAAGTTCCATAAGTAGTGTGTAGTGTAATCCATTGGTTAAACCTTGGAATATCCTTGCGGTCGCAGGTCCTTGACCACCTGCCCTTGGCCGTGCGTACATGCACTGGAAGGCAACACACTTGGTTGATGGTTTCAACATGTTTCAAGCCACCGGAAAGGTATTCGGATGATAAATGAGTCTAGAATCATGCCAGAATATGCTTGTTGTTGTACGAAACACCTTGTTGCAACCACCCTCTAGCAACTTCAGTCTGACCCTTCTTCCACCGGCGGAGGCCTCCGGCACGGCATGCAGCTCATACAGCGAGGCGAGGACATGGCCGAGCAGTTGGGAGACCAGGCCTCAGAGGTGATTTCCTGCCGCAGCTGCAGCACCAATATAAGGTTCGTAAATGAAACAAAATACACTGAACATCACTGAACATGACCCCGGGGGGGCTCAGAACCAGCCACCTGGTTCACCAAATCCTTCAAGTTTCACAGGGCGGGAGAGAGGTGCACTTAGCATTTCTGCTTTGAAGGCCAAAGTGCTTTGCTCTGACTCTAACATCATTCGGTTCAGAGCCTTGATCATTGTGTCCTGTGGATCAGCTGGTTGCTGCAAAGAAAGGTGGTGGCGGAGGCACTTCCGCGGGAGTTGGCGGGGTCGGGGTGCAAACCAAAGCGCCAACCACCTGGAGGCTCAACTTGAAAGGACGAAATCGCAGCACTGCAGCCTGTCCTGCCAGAAGCTTTGTAAAGCTGCTGCACCGATCTGTGCCTTGGTGCCTGGGTGCCCAAGTCTCTGGCAAGTCTTACGTCCAAACTTAGCTATTCTGCCTCTCACTTTTTTGGGGGTGGGTTTTGGGGAGTCACTTGGGTGGGTTTCGGGAGTCACCAACAACGTCTGAATCGCTGGGGCGCGCAAAGCCTCGGCGCGCCCCGATTTTTCGCAGGTACCTGGACCTTGCGAACTCGGGGTGTCCTGGCTGGACCTTCCGAACTTAGTAGTGTGGGGCTTCCCAGCCAGGCGACCCCGAGTTCGGAAGGTGCAGGCATGTTTGGGATTGTTTGGGGTCTCTGCCGAGCTAGGCACCTTGGAATTGGATGGAATTGGGAAGAATTGGGTCATATTGGGTCCTTTCTTCCACCCGCCCCTGACTGATGCATGACTGGGGCTTGTTGCAGCCAAGCAAGCCCTCTGCTGGCGGAGCCAAGGCTTGCGCCTCACTCGATCGTCGACCCATATAACCCAAATCACGCCGTGTATGGCATATTTGCCGACCTTCAAAAGGTCACCTGGCTGGAAGCCCCAGCCCATATTGTCGGGATTTACTACTACGTCGGACACCCCTGGAGGGTACATTCGGTACATTTGGGTGGTTGAAAAGTGAGTGGCGGACAAGCTTCACAAAGCATCACAAAGCTACCTTTCCACAGGTTCTCAGGTTCATGTTCTGGGTGTGCAGAACAAGTTGGGTTGCTCAGCTGGCTCAGCTGGGCCCTGGAAGCAACCTTTCCGGAAGCCGAAGGGAGGGCAGCGGAACCCCTTCGAGTTTCAGGGGAAGAGCTGGCCAACATCATGCCTATCTTGGCGGATCCCACGAATTCCACCGTCGGAACCGGGTCGGTCACGGCTTTTTTTCCAGGATGGGCGACGAGTGGGTCACCTGGCCTCAAGGGCGATCAGCCTTCCTCGAAGCATTGATACCCTCATCCAGTCCATAAACCAAGCACAACTCTCAACTCTCCATCCATCCCAGGACCCCCTGCGGCGAGCTCTCTGATGCGAGCTCCCAAGGTGTGCCTGGCACGCTCAGCTCAGTTAGGGTTTGGACCACTTCAGTGACCTGGGCCTAGCCGAGGAGCGACCGGAGCGACCCTCTTTCAGGGTAAGAAGAAGATCTTCACCTAGCCCCACCCTGCTAGACCTAGCCACATCCATCGCGCTAAGGCTTCAGAGACACCGACGTCTCCGTTTGACGGACAGTCCGTCGGGTTCAGAGAGGCTACATCCATCACCCAGCGGCTTGGTCGTTGAGAGCATGACAGCTCAGTCAGAACACTGGAAAAGATGAATGAACACTGTGTCCTCCCCACCCATTGATGAGGCCCAAACCCACGAAAACCACATGTTACCTGGAAACATGATGCTTTCCACCCATCCGGGAAAAGAACAACACCGAAACCCGCTTCGATCCCGCTTCGATCCACTCCGCATTGCTTCGCATTGCTTCATCTGCGCCACTCACTCCCATGCAGTGTTTCGATGGCTCTTTGGCCACTCGGGCTTCGGGCGCTGTACCGGGCGCTGTACCGGGCGTCGTCTCGACGTGCTGGGCTCGCCGTGCTGGGGACGTCCCCAGCTCAAGCGGTGGGAGTTCGCCCCGTTTGATCAGGTAGGTGGAACCCAAGAGAAGTTGAACAGCCTTATAGCCTATCCCATACATACCACTATGGGGTCCTAGGTTGAACAGCCCTGTTGACGCCCATCCCATACGTACCACTATGGGGTCGAACCACTATAAGGTCTCTCAACCTCTCTTGGAACAAGATCGAACGGTACTTCGGTACTGCGACTTTATTGTTAAGGAGAGAACTTCGAGAAGACCTTCTTTCTTTGCACATGTGTCGCATAAAACATCCTGAAACCTACAGCCTCCCAGTACAAGTGGGAGCCCATGCCATAAGACATTGGCAGAAAGCCACATGGAGGCTGGCTGGTAGAGACGGTCATATGAGTCATACGGAATGGAAAACACGAAAGAAACAGCACCAAACTCCAAACAACTCCAATGCCCAGGAAACATGGCATACTCTCCCTCAGACAAATCATGGGAGCTGAACAAACCCCCCTTGTATATAGAGGAAATGATCTTCCAACGGCCTATGTTCCACTTCCATGATTGTTTCAGGGAGTGTTCTATGGCGCACCCGGCATGTCATGTGGGGTGCGACATGGTGGCTCTGAACACGAACGGGTGCGCCGGCTTTGGCACCGGGTGCACATGGACGATGGTTGCGGCGAACCGCAGCTGGTGAAGGTCTTGTCCAATGAAAAAGTCTTCGACGGAAGTCCGACCGCTGCCAAGGAAGGTGATGTGGAGACCTCTGCTGTTTGAGAATACTTTCAAACATCTTACAAGTACACAAAAATAGAGAATCTTTTTTTGGACAATTGACAAATGACAGTGTCAGCTCAGGACTGTAAGCAACTCCATCACCACGGTGCTTTGGTCCAAAGAAGAAGAGGGATGAAAAGGCTGGTCAATCAACTGTTTCGGCCCCAATCCTTGCATCTTCACGAAGTGCCCTCAACGCACGCCCAAAACGCACGACCAAAACGCCCAGTGAACCGTGCGAAGCGCGACCGCGCGTGGACCCCTTCACACTGCTCAGACCTGGGCGCGACGCACCGCTATGGCAAAGCATCCTGGTTCTTTGAAAAACCGGGTACCCTCTGGAAGCCAAACATACTTTCCCAGACGCCACCCATGGGACTGCCATAGGACTGCCGAGAAACGGCCAGGGGTGGTGGGTTTGGGGGGCCTACATGTAGGCGGCATAAATGGCAGTCCCATTAGTCGCGTCGGGGTTTTGTTGACTCGATGTGGACTCGTCTTGAAAACTGACCTGGACGAGCTTCTAGAACATCACTACTAAGTACGGACGTCACGCGACCTACCGCCTAAGCTGGGACAAATGCTCCGAATTGGTGTTCGGGTAACATCGACAGGAAGCCATGGGTTCACACATCCCCAAACCTATGGGTTTTCTGGATGCTCACTTCAAGCAATTCGGTGAATTTCTTCATGCCCGCTGAACATAGAGTGTGGACAAGATCGACCACCTGCCCCAAAACGAGAACGTGCCCAAACCGTTTGTCTTGTTGTTCCGTTGGATTTGAGGATCCGTTTTACCCGACAAGACCTGCCAAGCTGAATGAAGGTCTTTTCAATCACCTTCAATAACCTGTATTTATATCAAGCTTAGGAACAGGACCTCATGTTCCTCCTCCAAGCTGCTGCTGTTTCATCTAAGCTGCCAACCTTCCACAGAACCCCTGGCCTTTTCCAAAGGGACAAGGGACTGCCTTACCCGGCGTGAGGAGCCCAGCCAAGTGTTGACATTCCACCACCACCATCAACCATTCCACCACCTAACACATCACCCCAGCTATCGTTCGACGCAGGACCGTTCGCTGCCCCAATCCCACCAGGGAGAGGGTCGACCGAACTCCGCCCGCGAACGACCACCAACTTGAACCCCCCCCCGACCGGCCCCGTTTTGGGACTGGTTGGCCTTAGCCGTTTGATGCCGTTTGTGTCTTTTTGGGGGTTGGATGGGACTCTCCATGTGGGAAATGCGGGTGAAGTATGGTGAAGTATGGTGAATTTCCCCTTGCCACATGTTGTCTATGGGAACTTCACTAACCAGTGGACCATACCTCGTCAACTTCATGTTGACTACAACCGAACCTTGAATCATTGACCTTCGGCCTCATCTGGAATCACCCGTCACATGCCAGAGATCGCTCATACCGCATTTTTCTTCGGCCCAAAGCTGCCTTCCAGGAACCATCAATGTGTGTGTGTCAGCACCTTCTTTTCGGGATCACCAATGACAGTTTCTACACTACTCATGGGATCTCCATTGGACACCCCTTGAAGCTCCAGGGTGTATGCGTGTTTGTGTGTTTGTGCGCGCGCTATGAAACCACGCGTCGAACATTGCCGGCTTCTCTAACCCCCGCTCGACCTTGTGGATGTCGCTGTTCAAGCCGCTGCTCAGCAACGGGCGGCTATTCCCGCTCCTCAGTAACACTCAAAAACGGTCGCCCTGCGTCTTGAAGGCGGTTTTCGGGTGGCTCTCAGCTCTCTCATCCAACGCAAAAAACACACTAAGTCAAGCAAAAGATTTGATTTGGGGAAATTCTCTTTTGCAGCGGTTGAACTTGGAACCCGCCAGTCATCTTGTCTTACGAAGCGTCATTGAAACCCATGCGGCCATGCGGTTCATGTCTACAAAGGAAACATCACAAATACTGGTTCACTGCCTAGACGCTCCTGGACCCTCATGTGGGAACGGTCCGGACCCTCAAATCCCTAGGTTTTGAGGGACCCGTCGGGCGTCGTTCACGGAGCGTCTGGCCAACAGTCGTTGGTTTTTGGGGCTGAGGCACTTGCACCGAAGCTAGGGACACCCTTCCATGTTTGGGAAGGGTCTGTCATTGCACCGTCCACAAAAACCCACCTGATCATAGAAATTTCATGTGTTAGTACTGGCATGTTATCCGGTCCTTTATCCAATCATCATCTTCCCAGGAAAACCACCTTTTCAACAACAATAATGTGGTTCAATACATACATGTGCATGTATGTGATTCTATAAATGGATGCTTATATGGATGTACAATGTACAATGTATATGGGACTTTGGATTGTGTTTAGTTAGTCTTATATTATTGTAAAACAAAACTCATGAGATCCCTTCTTGACACAGCAAACCAGAAAGAAGCACTTCCCTTCTTAAATTCGTAGACCACCAGTTCATTGGCTTCGTCTTACCAGAAAAAAGAAAAAACACCTGCTAGAGGGTCCAACGAAGCGGCACTGTGCAATAATTCCTCCAAGATGCCTCTCGAGCATCGGTTGCGGTTGCACCGGAATCCGTCCTTTATTGGGGATCAGGCCTTGGATGCGTCAAGCGGTTGGAAACTCGAGCCAAGCACTTCCCATCAAGCAGTTGACCATGTTTAACTAGAAAAAGTGACCAAGTGTTTCAAAGAAACGTGTAATTTTCCCGGGTGGACTAAAACATCTCCTTTTCCCAGCGGTTTTTGACCCTACGTAGATGCGCATATGTCCCTTTGGACCCCTGGCCCGGCGCCCGCTGATGTTCGGGTCGCCACCCTGCAGACCACTCCGAGCGGCTTCGAAGCAGCGACGAGGCATAGCGCACATGGTACTCCTGCATCCGCAGGGAGGGCGATGAGGCGCGCGATGATGGGCTCCATGTTCTTTTCCGCCGATCATCGCGAGCCCTAATCATTTCCGCCTATTGGTCATCGCGATGATTGGTCAAATACCATAATAAAGCCATCAATCCATTCCGCCTGCCGCCTTTGCAGGACCAATCCGGGTGACCCCATGAATTCGTCCTCCCTCTCCCTTCACCCCACGGGGCCCACCCGTGTGATGTTCAACGGAGTCAGGACAGGGTCGTGACGTGGAGGGCTGGTCTTGAAAGAGGGCAACCCTGAGAATGGCACCCTGAAAGACTGCTTTTCCTCTACAATCCAGTGGCCTGCAAAGGGTCCCTGTGAGTGTTCAGCTGAGTAGATCTCCGAAGTTCTTCAGATTTTGTTGGGTACGGCTAAAGGCCGTGTGTCAGGTGAATGATTCACAGGTCACTCACTGATCTGGAACCTACCATCCAAATCTTGTGGGCATCGTCGATCGATGTATCGTCTCTGCGAAGAGTAGCTGGCAAACGCCTCCCAAGAGTACTCTTGTCTCCTCCAACCACCGCAACAAAACAATGAACCATGCCCGGCGTAAAACGACTTCTAGAACATATCAGAACCCTCTTTTGGAGGTTTAAACAAAGAGGGAACATGTGTTACATAATCCTTCATACCTCAGAGATCTGAAATATGCCGAAATCATGTATCATGATCCACGCTGTTTGGTCATTTCATGCAAAAACATACTCCATTTCCATAAGCTATAGAATCAAGGGGGTATTAATATCGCGGGTTCCTCTCTCCTGGACATGGAGCACCTCGCGCAAACGACCCCCGCCGCGTCGCCCCCCACTCGCTCCGCCAGCGCGGCGAGGAGGTTCGCTTGCCGGACGCTGAAGGCGGCGCTGCCTGCGCAAAGCGGCAGCGGGACGAAGGAGCTCCGAAGGTTTGGACTCACTTCGAAGAATGATCAAGCTCCGAAGGTTTGAGAGACTGTGAGAGATTTATATACCAGCACCCGACTTCACAGGGTCACCACCTGCGACGTTTAAGTTTGCAAAAGCCTCCATTTCGGAGACCTGTTGGAGGGTCCTGGTACTATATGGCATCTTATGGCCTTATAAAGATTCATGTTCGATCACCGATAAATAGAAGTGGAAAAGAGTGGAAATTCTGGCCATGGAAGACCATGTGCTCTACGAATGCTCATCAGTGTTAAACACCAATGCGAATCCACGTCGCATGGCGATGTGTTTGTCAAACCTTTTGGGCTCGTCGCCGCGCCTTGTTCGACGGAGCTGATTTTCGGCCGGAGAAACCTGTGGGTGTTTCGAGGGCTGGAGGGTTGGCCTACGTCGACGCCAAGGCAGCAACTTGGGTCATCACTGGCAGTGAGGGAAAGCTGGCGGGTCATTAGCCCACCACTCTTGAGCCGCTTTTGGGCAGCTTAGCTAGCCAACACACAAACAAGTTGGAGACGTCAACAAGAACATGGCAACTGTTTCTGGTGTGTTCCCTCTCTGCAGCCCATGTCCAACACTTGGCACTTGTGCCCCATTGGATGGGTTCGGGCGGGCTTGAAGGCATCTCCTGGAATTGGTATCAGCTACTCTGAACTCAGCTGGAGGCTAAGGACCCCCGGTAAGGGCTGCATTCTGGACCCCCAGCCCGCTCAGCAGCGTTCCGCAAAACAGGCGGAACCCTGTTCTGAGCAACCGGGGCGGCTGTTCTGAGGGGTTCGGACATAAAGATTATCGAAATGAAGTGTGATCTAAAACGTCTAACTGCTGTGACCACATCTTGATTTCACTGTTATAATTGTATAATGACAACTCTGCATTTTGCTGTTTTGTTTCATGGTTTTTTTCAGAAAAATCAACGCCTTGGTCATACGATCTTCCGACCAATATGCCAACTCTGGATCTTTGGCACACCAGCCCGGCCGCTTCCTTCGGCCGAGTTCGGCACGGGAAGCTGGTGAAGCACCCGCTGAAGCCTTTCTTAAGCTCTTCATAGGTATCCTGGCAGGTCCACGGTTGCCGTTGGTTCCGACGGTGGAAGGCCAAAAAGAATCCAGCGACGGGAATTGATGGTCATGATTGCTTGTCTGTGTGGGTATGAGTAGATCACGAGCACGCCAGGGCTAGACGCGGACTTCCGCCCCCCTTGCAGGGTTTGGAACTGCTCAACTCTTGGAAGAAATCCTCCACCCCCGAGAAATAAGCAAATTAGCAGTTTCCACTGTCCGTCTTCCTCAAGACTCGTGCTGACTGCTGTTCAGCACGGGGCAAAAAGGTTCAGTAAGGAATGGTTTTTAAGCAAGGCCACCCAGAAGAAGCATGACGGAACAAGAGCAACACCATTGACTTCTTGTTTGAGCTGCTCTCATTTGCCAATGCTTTTTGAAGACATCTCGACATTCATTCTGATCTCTCCCTCGCCAAACTGATCAGACGGCAATACGGCAGAAGCATTTCTTAACCCAAAAAAGTCACCCTGCAGTGCAGTCTACTCAATCAGGAGTTTGTTTGTTTCAGGCTTCAACCTACATGAGGACAGCTGAGAGCAAATACAAACGAATGTTGGAAACCTCAAAACCGTAAGAGCTTAATTACGGAAACTGCACTGCTTTCAAACCTGTTAATCCTGTTGACTCTTGATGTATCAACCCACCCCACATTTGACAATCCAATCTCGTCAACACGAACAGTCAAACAAAGACCAGGTTACCAGTTACCCATCCCAACCCACCCTCGGTCATTCCACCATGTTGCTGCGTCACCTCCGGAAGGCTTTTTTCGAAATTGTCCACACGGTCAATATGGATCAGCACCAAATCCACTGAGAAGCCACCTGGACTCATCGCCGCGGTTTGTTCAAACACCCGGCGGTTGATATCAGTGATGATCGCGTGGGTGAGGGAAGCTGTCTTGATCAAGAGGATATCCCTCCCTCCTCCGTTCGAGTGTGTATCAATAAGCCCGGCCATGGCCCGGGTAGACACGTCGATGTTTCGAAGGCGGGGCCTCCTGAGGGTCTACTTTACACATGTCACCGCGACCCATTTCATCTCCCTCCGCACCTGGAATCTGCCAGGTCTCATTGCGCACCACGCGCAGCGTTCGCCGCACCACACCTGCGGGCCCGGCCAGTCGTCTGAGAGGACTCTCGTGACATGGGGGCCCAACCGCTTGGAAATCCAGCCTTTCTACATCCCAAAACCAAATTCCCTAGGGATCCAGTCGTACCGAACCTCAGAAGGTAGGACCCTGGCACCTACATAACAGTGTCAAACACATCACCGAACCTGAGAAGGTACTTGGATCCCTAGGGATTCATTGTCATGGAAATGGAAGATGTGCCCATACATTGACCGGTGAAGCCACCCGAAAGATCCCTTTTTCCACCACCTCCCCCCCCCGTGTTCCACCACGGCCCAACACCCCCGTTCCCTCCCATCGGGATCGCCCGCTCCAGCTCGCGCTTCGCGCCTGGCTCGCCCGCATTCCTTCGGACTTGCAGCTGGTGGAGGAGCGCAGCCACCTCGTTCTCCCCGAAGACCTGCTCGTTTTCCGACCTCCACCGGTAGTACCGACTCGACCCTCCTCCCCCAACCGGTTGGTGGAACCCACCGTAAATATGGCGTATACGATCTACGTGGAGTGTCGGGGTATTGAATGTTCAAGTGAAATGACAACTTGGTTAGGTGATCTCCGAAGGGACGTGTTTTGGATGTATTTGGGCCCAACGAGAACGGGCTCATGTAACACCCTTAAGAACGCTTTTCTGGGAATCGGGAATCTCCGGATTCTGTATCAGCTTCTTTATGCGTCTTTACATTTCCCTCGTTCTTGACTCTTTCTGGTTGACTTACTCCAAGACATTTACGATTTGCAACTGTTGGCAAGGGAGCTCCATCTTTTGTGAAGAGATTGAGAGATTGGTAGGTGTCCTTGGTCGTCATCATGGAACTAATGAAACAAAGAGCCCTAAGAATCCCTCCATAGCACGGGTCTGGACCCTCAGAACCCTGTGCGTTGCTTCGGAGACCAGATTCTTAGGGAGGATTGAATCTGAGAGCCAGTGACCAGCCAGCTGGGACAATCAGCCATTGTATCAGCAAACTCAGTTAGCGACTCCTCCTCACCATTTATTTACTGGCGAAAGAACGCTCCATGCATGTGGATCCTTGAGTCTCCAACGACCTGTTTTTTTTCTGCGTGTTTGTTTTTGGTCTAAAAAAAGCGTCTTCAGGGATGAGGACTCAAAAAAAATGGTACAGAATTAATCTTCATCCCGACGCGTCCGGTGCGGACGCTTAAAGACGCCTTTTGGATGCAAAAAGACGCGTTTTGGACGCCGAAAAAAGGTCTCAGGGCACTGTCTAAGGAGGATCTGACAGGGCACAAACAAAAAAAATGAACATTTCGTGACATATGTAAAAAAGATAAAAAAAGAAGAGTTTTCTTTCAAACACCTCTTTTTCTTGGAAAGGCGAATTTAAAGGGATCATCTTGGAGACTCAGGGGACACGTGAAGACTACTTTCCTCTGAGAACCGGATGAATGGCCCACTCCGATCTTGCCCAAACACTCAACGGGACTGGCATATTTACAGACATTGACCCCTAAAACCACCCCAGTGTAGGTAAATATGCCAGTCTCACGGAGTTTGGGTTGGTGAAGGGATTGGAGGGTCGACAGTCACGCGAAGCTGGCTGGGTGGGTCGCCTGGTCTCCGCAAAACGCGGCGTGCCTGAGTGTGCTTCGCAAAGGGGCTGCTTCCTGTGGCAGTGGGGTTGCCCTAAGAGCGGCACGTGCCGGAAAGGGAAGTCGGAAGGGGCACACCAAAACAACTTCGCTCAGCTTTGCAAGAGCCACGCAATCAACCGCTGAGCACGCACTAGCACGAGCCTGCATCCTTTCCCCAACACAACAACATTGCACTTTCCACGGACTCCCATAGGTTTGCCTTGCACAAACACAACCTCCCTTCTGAAACCCATACACTCCGCGGTCGAAGCCGGCTGCCGGGGTCGACTCCGCCTGCTTGGAGCAGACCGAACTTCTCCATCAGGTCACTGGGCCGAGGTCAGGCGATCCGATGGGGTGGGGGGCCGAGCTGGCAGTTCCGACTGAAGCGGCCGACCAGCGGGACTGGAGCCACCATGAGCGACCATCCATGGGACTCACCTGACTAAGCGCCTTTTTGTAGAGCTGACTAGTAGCGATGGCCTGGCCTCCAACATCCTCCACTTGTAGTAGCGATGGCCTCCAACCGGCCGACCAATCAGGTCGACCTCTCTGGAGGTCCGACTTGAGTCGTCCCGACCATGTCGGATCCGGTCCCATCCTGGAGAGTTTCTGACCTCGCCCCGATCACCGGAATGGGTCTTTCGATCTCACCGTATGGATCAGGAGATCGTGTGGATCACACCATCTCGACACTCCCCACGACCACCATCCCTCTTAGCGTTGATGACACAAACTGGGAGATCGAGGGCACCAAGACCTAGGGCCGGTGGGTGGAGACCAGACTCCCGCGTCTCGGCCGTGGCGCTTCATGTTGTTCGCTTGTGGAGATCCCGCACTCGCAGCTTCCCAGCCGAAGTCCACCCTGACGAGGTCCGGACGCCACGCGCCGCCACTATTCCGGACGCCACGGCCGCGATTCTCCCGTTCGAAGGGGCGCCGGCCGGCTGGATTGCCGGATGGGCGTGTTGAGGGCTCTCCAATGTGTGGAAGTTGGGACCCATCCAGTGAGTGGATGATGCGGCAGTGGGCACCCCTACTCTCCAGTAACTCTGGATTCCTTTTGGAACGAACTGCTCCTGTTAGGGGTCAAATCACAGGTGAAGGATCAGGTCAAGCTTGTCAACCAACATCCGGCAAGTGATTTACTGGAGATGGTGACTTACCATACCAACAAATGCCGAGAGCTTATGCAGATTGTGCCCAGTAGGGTGGCAAGCAATGGACCGGTCGTGCCTCAGCGGGTCTATGGCTTGGAACATCTTGGAACAATGATGGAAACAACTCCGGACAAAACCGGCTGCCATGAAAGCATTCTTCATTTGACAGTTTGGCGCGCCAAAAGCATCATCTCATCTACGTCATATACCTAACGATCGAATCGAGCCCTGCCAAAAGCATGCGACCGATCTAATGACTTTCCTCTCACCTGCCTCTGAAAACCCTCTCACCATCCGATTCACTGGGCCGCCCGCGCCACACGATGCGTTGCACCCGCCGCTGGAGCAGCGCCAAGAGCCCCGAGTTGTCCGTGCACGCGCCGTCGGCAAAGGCCGCTTGGGGCTCTGACGAGAGTGGCGGCCGCCAACGTGGGATCACCGTGGCGGCTGTGAAGGGGTGGAGGCATGACCGACTCCGTTGTAGTCCGTTATACTCCGTGTGGAAAAAGGACTGCATGTTCTTTGCCAAAAGATGGGAGGTGCAGACGTGCCCCAAAGCCTCCGAGTCATTGTGAAAAGTACTTCCTGCACACCATAGAAATATGGACAAATAGGGAAGGAAACTTTGGAAAGCTGGTGAACATCTGTGAAATGATTGCGGATTCGCCCTGGGCAAAAATATGTTGACCGGCAGCATGAAAGCATAGAAACCTGCTGCCAGGAACCCAAACTGCAGTTTGGTTTCGATTAAGAAACGCCCCCGGATATGGGGTTACAGTAAACCAAACTTGGCATGTTGCGTGTCTTTTTCACAACGTTGCTGCACAAAAGAACTTCTAGGACCCACTGCCAGGGTGGTTATACAAAGACCTTTAGTAGGTTTATGTATACCCATTTTAGGGTCCAGACCCCTCCATATGAGGGACCGGTCCCTCCATATATAGCCTAAAATATTATGATTCATGGACACCCTATATTGTGGGCCTTGCACTTCCAGGCTCCTTCAAAACACATCCCACACCTGCGTTCGACAGGTTGCAGTGGCCTTGGCTGCCTGCCGCCTGAAGCGCTTTGCAGAAACACAGAAACACACCTCTGCTGTGGTGGAGTTGGCACCGTGAAGAACAACAAGATCATCAGACTGAGAGAGGTAGTTGGGCTGGAGAGGTCCCATATGTTGCCATTCTTCTCCACTTTAGACACTTCAAGCATCTCAAAACCCAAACACGCAATCACTGCTTTAAGAGTATAAACAAAAACAACGCTCCTTACTTTGACCGCCTAATGTTGACCTATGATTAATAAAGGGACCCGGAATAGAGTTAGCCGATCTGCGCCCTGATTAATGAAGGGACCCGAAATAGAGTTTGCACTTTTTATTTTCAATTCCATTTCATATACTAATGCACCTTGATTTTAATATTTGTTTTAGTAAGGGGGCATTTCATTTATTATATACTGTAATTCTTTCTTGGAGCCTGGAATGAACTTTATTTAGGGTTTCCTAAGAGTGTCAAAGTTTGACAGTACATTTATTAGTCAGAGGTCAACATTAAGTTGGTCTTACTGCATGATCAACTTGAGTCCCAGGCAGTCACTCTTGGGGAATGCTCTCTGACAGGGCTTCCCCTCCAAAAGCTACCCTCTGTTCGGCCGCGCCGTTAGGCTGAGCTCAGATCGATTTTTCCCCACCTGTCAGTGAGGTGAGGGTTGCTAGATCTTATGTCAGCTGCCATCGTCCTTCTCCTCCTCCTCCGCCTCCTCCTCCGGACCCCAACCGCAAGTGCAGGATGGCAGTGTTCCCACCGGACCTCAGCTGCAAGTGCAGGATGGCAGCGTTCCCTGCCGGACCTCAACCACGAGTTCCGCTTGGCAGTGTTCCCCGCCGGACCTCAACCGCGAGTCAGAAGATATCCCGCATATGCCAAATAGAAAGCCAGAAAGAAAGTGAGAAAGAGTGTCAGAAGATATGCCAGAAAGAACGCCGAAATCATGCTTCAATACATGCCAGAAAGATTGTCAGATTGAAATGTCATGGTGGGGATCACTCGAAGTAAAGTAATTTTCACTGCTCATGGCTGAACTCGATAGGCTCATCCGATCGCCCCGATCGTGGGCGCCGCCGCCTTCACCGGCCAACGCGTCAAAGGGCTGTCCAGGAGCTTCGCAGCACGGCTGAGACCACCTGGGCACGGTTCGGATCGGAACGGCAAACCACAGCGGCCTTGGTGTGGAGTGAAACACCGTGGGAATGATTGGCTCCTGGCCTTGCCTTGGTTTGACCATTACTTAAGGGGGTGCGGCGTTTCTCGCAATAGAAATACAAAATTCCTTCAACCTCTGGGTCTGTCCCATTATCAGTAACAGTGGATGATTGTTGTTCAGATGCATAGTAATGTTCATATATGATGTTCTTGTTTACCTTTCCTGTGACTGGTCATGGGACAGACCCAAGATCTATATAAGGGTCCGGATACGGGGTGGTCACTCACCTCTTTTCGGGGCTACAAGCTACAATATAATCAAACACCCCAAAGAAACATGGCTAACCTGACGCGAGTCTTTTCGAACCTGACGCGAGTGCCGTGCGAGTCGAGGTATCCACCTACCCACCTCAATCATCTTCAACTCACTTTTTGGTCATCTTCCCTCTAACCCGCATGAAAACGCAGCATCCAAACAATGTTGTTGACCTCATACTCTTCCAGATATTGCCATCTTCCCCTCTAACCTGCATGGAAATGCAGCATCCAACCAAACGACTTAACCCAGGAACCCAGTATAAGCAACACCCCAAAACGCCTGGGGTGCCCTGTCATCACTTCTTCCAGCCGCGCCGCTCAAGGTCAACATGTCCGCCAAGGTGAACGGCTCCGCAGGCGCCACGAGCACCGGGGCAGTCTGGGAACGGGCGTGACGGCGACCCGGCGTGACGGCGACCCGGCGTGAAACACCAATCACACGACAGCACACGACCAGCTGCCAGATGTTTTGACATTGAAGGGCTTTGTATGTGTAGAATGAACAAATCCAACCAAGCAACCTGAATGTGGCACCACGTCGGGGATGGGAAAACCATGGAAAACCGACACCGCGCGGGAAAACCGCCACTGCAGGTTTTCGGTTGGTGACTTGTGGGCCTGGGTGTCAAAAGGATTTCATGGGGAACTCTGAATCACATCCAACTTACCCGGACCTTCCCAGGGGTGTCCTGGCTGGAGATCCAGATGTCTAAACGCCTTCCAGCTAGGTGACCCCGAGTTCGGAAGGCGTCGGTAGAAAGGGTGATTGCAAGAATCAATGCGAAAATGCTGGAAAAACGGCACCACCAGGTCCTGACATAGACCCCATATGAACCATTGCCCAGATCTGCACGCAGATCTTCAACCGTCCGGCCTGGCTAATCCGATTCACGTGCTGCACCCCACCAAAGGCAAACGTCGGCACCGAACCTGTACACCGACGGCGTCGGTGAGAACTCCGGTCGACGGTCAGTGGGCAGTGGGCACTGTCCCAATCCCAGCTAGATCATCCATTTGTGAGAAATGATGAGAAATGCAGAAATGCACCACGAAAACTTACTGCTGTGAGCAGTGTTGTGTTAATCTGGATGTGTCATGGCGCACTTCGCGAGAAGCCCAACACAGAATTCTCCTCAAATGTTCCAGTTTAGGAGTCAAGCGGCTACAAGTGGCGTCTGATCGTGTCTGATCAGCATCTGATGGCACAGGAGCGTTGGAGCATGCCTCATAATCTTACCTGTGAGGTTGTCCCTAGTTGTCGTGAAACATGAATCATCGCATATCATCGCTGATGTTTTCTCCAGGATATCCGGGTAGTTTTCCAGAGCCCTTCGTCGATTCACAAACAAAAAGAAAACCAAGCAGAATTGAGAGAATTGAGGTTCCATGTTCATGGCCTCAAAAGCATTCGGGGTTGCCCCGTTCCTTTTCGGACATGACACCACCAAACGCCCCATCTGCAGCAGTTCGGCGCCTAACATCTGCAGCGTCTCGGTCTCCAACTCGCGGACGAAGGGGAAAAGGATCGGCTCGTAAGCCCTGCAGTGCGCCAACGGGTGGGCGCCGCCAACACTCCAGGCTGGCTGGGGCGCTTGGGCAAGGAATCAAGGAATATTGGATGCAGCAGCGACAATCAAAGTAGATCTAGGCACCCATTCTGACCCATGGGTGTGGCTATCTCAGGAACGACAGATTTATTATAATTATGAGTTATTCTTTCAACCTCCTTGTCAACCTCCTTGAATTGGGTCTAACAAATCATGGATTGTTACATCTGTTACGTTCAAATCATCAAATGTCCTTACGCCAGACCATACGCAAAATGAAGTGACATGTTCCGACACTGCATAGTGAGATACGGTTCACACCGTGGAGTCTGACGTCAAAGAGCCGTCAGCATTTGCAGTCTTCTCTGGTACCGATACCGTCTCAGTCTCTTCCCATCTTTCAATTTCCTCCCACTCCGATGGGACCAGCTCACCATTCTCCTTCGCCACTATTGCGCGTCTTTGTTCGATGTAGGTCACCGTCTTGTCGCGGCATTTGCAAAGTTGGCTAGCTGCACCCCCTGCAAGCCCAGAACCTATTGCAGGGACAACAAACGCAAGAGGCGGAGCAACGATGAGAGGTGCTGCCGCTGCACCTGCAGATACCTGCAGTACATCCGATCACCACCTCAGTACGGCTTCTCTCCGGACCGTAGCGTTCTTCTGTGATCGTTCGCTCCTCTGTAGTCGTAGGGTCTTCAATCGTTTGTCTTTTCCACTTCATGAACCTCTCATTCTCTGCTCAAGTTGGGGCCTGAAATGCCTGACTGTTGGGCTGATGTCATCGGACGGGCTCCAAAAGATCTGCATTGGAAGGACAAGGTCCAACGGATCCAACTGCCGAGCAACCTTGCTCCGCCTTCAATGCAATTTCCGCAAGCCTCCCGCCATGCTCTTTAAGAACGCCATCATAGACATTGTCTGGTTGCAGAGGCTTCGCTGAATTGATGGCCTCAACTGTTCTATGAACAAGATTAAAGAACATCGAACCATCAAAAGGAGTCTTGCTGGAAATCAAAGGTGGGCACTCGTGAACTTGCTTGCACAACTCGGCAAGAGATTCATAAAAGCCTGTCTTCTCTCTTGTGGGCACTGTAAGAAATCTGCGCTTGTGCAGTGGAAAATGGTCTGCAACTGCCTTGCACGTCTTCTGGCGCTCTGCATTTCTCTCATTCGGAAACGCCAGTTGTCGATCTAGCTCAAAAGGAGTGCAACGAAGTCGACATCCATTGATGACCACTAGAAGGTGAGACCACGAGCATATTCTATCTCTTGCTGAGTGCTATTTTATGCTATTTTGAAAGCCAAATTGCTATAAAATCAGGCCGTCCCCTCCATATCAGTAGAGGCAATCCCTGCTTTCTGGCAACGGGCTTTTGGAGGAAACCGCAATTTTCATGTGACAATTTTCATGTGGTTTCAAAAAACATATCAATGTCTTAGGGCTTCTCATTGTGAACATATTCTATCTCTTACTGCTTCCTATTTTCAAACTCTAATTGCTACTATATAATCAGGTCGCCCTCCCCATATCAGCAGAGGAACGACTACGGTCGTTCAGCTGGACCAAGTACAGTGAACCAAATATTATATCTCTTAACCCACCTCTGGGAAGGCAAATACATTGAAACTTTCTAATATTTGTCAATCGCATTTTACGAATTTAAAAATATTCTATCTTTCGGAAGCTCACTATAATATAACTGCATATATATACAACTAATCATTGGCACTCACAATAGACCAACTTGAATCAAAGCTCTTCCAAACACCACCGTGTTGGATCTCAGCTACCGCCCAATTCCGTTTGGCCCAACCTGTCCCTCTGCGGTGAGCTGGGGCCGCTGATGCTGGAGGCTGACCTCGCTGCACGGTCGCATCGCCGCATCGGCGTATGGTCGGCTCGGTGCCGCTGAACCCTGCGGAGGGCGAAATGACATGAGCCGTTGCACCAGAAGGGGAAAACAAGAATCTTCCCAGACCCGAATCCTCTTGAGGTGTCTGGGGTTTCTCACCAATCCCGTTTTGAGGGACCAGTTGTGCTGGGAATGGAGTGTCCGGGCTGAAAGAATTCATACTAGCACCTTCCAAAATCTATTTCACCTGGCTGGAAGCCCAGCCCACTACTCTCCGAGATTTCCATTCAAGACTGAAAGGTCCAGGTACCTGGGTACCTGACCTGATCATACCTGGACCTTCCAAACTCGGGGTGGAGATGGGCTGGAGATTGTGTAGCTGGCCGGGGCGGCAACAGCCAGGTGACCCCGATTTCGGAAGGTGGATGAAGGTGGTAGATCATAAAGATTTCAAGACATGATGGCCACATGCGATCTGGGAAAGTGTCTTGGAGCATTTACCAGCCTTTTGGCTTCGAAGTGCATAGATCCTTCACGACCCTCTGCACGTCGTCGGAGTTGGTGCTCCCAACTTACAGAACGGGGCAGTCCAAGCCCAGGCGCATCTGGAACGGCAGCTGTTCCCCCTCCGAGAGCAAGGTGCCCCCCACCAGCCAGCTCGGCCGGTCACTGCGTGGGCACGCGAAGGCCTCGGCCTCCGGGCGCTCCGCTCGGGACGTGGTTGAGTTGAGCGCGGAGCTCCGTGGGCGCTCGGTGGTGCAAAGAGGTGACCAGCGTCCACAACAGTGTGGATCTTGGTGTCTCTGACGGTTCAAACAGGTAGGACCCTGACAAAGGAAGAAAGGCATAGTGATTGGAGGAACAACAGTCCTACAGTCCTACAGTAGTCCTAGTTGTTCTCTGCAGTTCAGCCGACTTGTCTCCTAGTTCCCACCTTCATCTTGGGATATTGCTGGATGATCTGCTTCTTCTCCTGAGCAAGCGTGATGCATGCACTGGCATCCCCATTGGATGGCCAGAGCGTCGCCTCCGGCACGGTGTACCTGGACCTGGTCCAAAATGAAAAACATGGGCCTGCTCGAGACCAGGGGCCTGGACCTGGTCCTCCAAGACCGCAAGGATTGGTGGACCAAAACCAGGATATGTGAACATATTCAAGGTGATTGAGGTGATTTTTCCTGCCATATTTGTGGACCTTTGAAGGGGTGTCTCCGTTCACAAACATTGACCATTTCGACCACTGGCTTCTCAACTCCTTCCCTAACAGGTTCACCGACCATCCACTGAGCAAGCCTAAGCAGTCACCCACCAAACTTCACTATAGATTTAGATTTAATGATGTAATATACTATACCTTTTGCATGTCACATCTCTTCACGTCCGTTCTTCGCACCAACCCACAGATGTTCACCCCTGAATCCTGCCGAACCACCAACAGCATCCTCAACATCGCTCCCAACACACACACTTATGGATATGCGTACGGAACTGATAGCGGTGCCACACGCCGGCCTAGGGTTCCATTTCCCAAGAGAACCAGTGAGGACCAGCGGAGCCTGGGGGTCTGCAAGAGGAAATGGGGCCAAAAGCTCAAGGCGAAAGCGGACCGACAGGGTGACGGCGTGTCGTGCGTGACTGCAGCTGCATTAGCACTTTACCATAGGTTAAAAAATTGTGCAGGTACAAGTGGTTGATCAGACCACTCATCCACCGAAATGCCATAGCTTCGTTGGACTGGATAGGCAAATCGGCTCCAGTCCCCCGGCTAATGAAAAACAATTCTAACGAATCCCTGTGACTACAAGGGGCACACACACACGCCTCCCCAAAGGGAGGCATGTTTTAAGCTCCGCGCCAAAAGGTGCGGACAAAGTAGTAGCCAGGCCAGGAACCTCTAGTAGCGTCAAAGTAGCGACCTAGCACCTAGTAGGAAGGCCAGGAGCCCCTAGTAGCAACCCAAGCTAAGGTCCCGACAGGAGGGAGGGGTTGGGAGAGACGAGAAAAAGGAAAGAGAAGGAAGGAAGGTGTTCCCAGCTACGACGCAAGCGTCCAAGGACACACCAAAAGAAGAGCGGAGAAAGGTTCCCAGCTATGACAAAAGCATCCAGGGACACCCAAGGAGGAAGGAAGGTGGAGAGGAAAGAGAGAAAGAAAGAAAGAAAGAAAGAAAGAAAGAAAGAAAGAGGGAGAGAAAGGGAGAGGAGAGAAAAGGAAAAGGCAGGTGTTCCCAGCTACGAACAATCGTCCAGGGACACAACAAAGAAAGAAAGGGGTGATCCTGAATCTTCCATTCAAGAAAACCCCAAAAAGCAAGGAAAGAAAGGGGAGGGAAGGGGAAGCAGGGGGACTAAGCTCGCAACAGGTTCCAATGAACCTTGAACAAACTTCGGTCGCTGTGACCACGTACGGCTTGCCCGAAGGCTGCCACCTTTGACCGCTGCGGTCACGTGAAGGCATGAGCCAGCTTGGAATTCCAAAATGAGACAAAAATCTGAGTTCTTTCGGCCTAGGCCACCTGCTGTCCGCTCCGGACACCTACGTTCCCAAAGCCGGGGAACATGGACAAACCCCCGTTCGACGGGTCCACGGGAGGCACTCTGCGGGCTCATCCCGGGTTGGCACGAAGCCAAACACACTCATGGATATGCGTACGGAACTGATACGCCGGCCTAGGGTTCCATTTCCTAAGAGAACCAGTAAGGACCAGCGGAGCCTGGTCTGTAAGAGGAAATGGGGCCAAAAGCTCAAGGCGAAAGCGGACCGACAGGGTGACGGCGTGTGGTGCGTGACTGCAGCTGCATTACTTTACCATAGGTTAAAAAATTGTGCAGGTACAAGTGGTTGATCAGACCACTCATCCACCGAAATGCCATAGCTTCGTTGGACTGGATAGGCAAATCGGCTCCAGTCCCCCTGCTAATGAAAAACAATTCTAACGAATCCCTGTGACTACAAGGGGCACACACACACACAAAATGCTCTCGCTGCCGACACTCTCCACCATCCTCCACCCACCCGCATCCGCACCTGTTCACTGCCGGCGATGAAGTGCTTTTGGTCCAAGTTGAAGGGTTCCAACCACTGGCTGCGCACCAAGGGCAACAGAAGCTCCTCACCACGTCCACTCGCTCGGTTGCTTTGCTTCGCTAGCTACACACAGTCGCGCGCGGACACCTCCACGGCAGCGCCGTTCCGGGCGCTCGTCGTCTTGCGCGGCGCCTGTGGCGTCGGTCTGGCGCAGCGAGGCCCCTTTGGTGTGAGGGGGGAGTATCTGACTCATGGCAAATTTGGAAAGTTTAGAACCACTATATAGACTATGAATGAACATAAATGTATCAATGACTATAACAAAATATACATGAATATATGTATATAAATCATTCCTGGACCCTCACTCCTCCATTCAGCCATATGCTGCTGTTTCCCAAAAGAAGCATGTCTTTAGGGCATTTTCTGGGTCACGGCTTCTGGTTTCTCCCTCAAGGTTGAGTGAATTCCAGAAGGTTCAATGTTCAAAGATAAAGATCCAACGGGTGAATAGTGAATATCAATCAGGGTACTACATGCATGTCTCAAAGAATCCTCTTGTAGACCTCGCAGCTACATCCAAATGACACATCGTTGTAAAACATTGGCGCTTAAAGCTTAAATCGATCTTTCTGCAAGGAGCTGCGGCATCCATTTTAACTCTATCCATTATAAACCACCTAACAACGACCCCTCAGTGGGGACACCTTCCTGAACCAACACCAAGCCTCAAAAACATCGAACATCAGCAGCCCAATCCTGCTGAAAGCTAACGATCTGTCTTCTGTTGTTGCAGTACAATGACTGACGATCACACTCTAATTAACAGGCGAAAAATGCCTTAAGTGTCCTTAAGTGGAAACATTCATTCCTTCAAACAAGTTGACCAACATTCCTGCACCACCTGCACTCCGAGAGTCCAGTCATGTCCTGCACATGTCCCCAAACGCCCCCGTTTCAGCCCGCTTCGGTCCCGTGCGAACCGTGTCTGCTCCTTCATCGGTGTCTGCTCTTCCCATCGCCCACCTCATGCGGTCGGTCCGAGTGGCGCCTGGCTCCTGTTCCGAGTGGCGCTCTGCAGCAGGGGCACCGACAAGGCGTCCAGCGCCTGGCATCTGCGAAACGCGGAAACGAGCTGCAGTGGATTGGATGGTGAAATCGGTCCGTCCAGTCGAGGATGTTTGCTTGCCCAGAAGCTCATGGACCCTCATATGGAGGGGTCCCGACCCTCAAGTCCCTAGCGTCTGGCTTGATCTTTTTGCTTTTAGAACGCTGGATTTCTAGAGTTAGGCTGCCAGGACCCTGGCTGGAGCCTCCTTTCGTGCTATATGAGTCCTAATATTCCACGGCTTTTGATGCACATGGTACGCATACGTAGAGTTCGAGCATCCACTGGGAGTGAGACTCTGACCTGGATTGATTTCTTGTGAATCCTCGGTTTCTGGTGAATTCCAGTCTTCCGCAGGACCAACCCCCAGCTTCACCTCACAGCACTGAACAAAGGGACGTGCCCTCAGCGACGGCGCCGGCGCCCTCTCTCTCCATCCGTTCCACCCGACTTTCGTGCGGTGCGCCGGCCTCAAGGGTCAAGGAGCCGGGCCGCGTCAGCGAGCCGAGCAAGTGCAGCCCGCTGGCCTGCCCGAACCTGCACCCGCGGAAGCCAGCTGTGGGGGTCATGTTCAGCGGTGGAAAACCCAAGAGGTCCAAGCGGTTGAAGCGGTGACAGTGACAATTGCCCAGAAACTATCCCTGAACATCCCTGAACTCAATAGGATCCAAACGCCACCTGCAGTATGGTAAGGACTTCATGGATGCTGGGGAATGAACCAAGGAATCACGTTTGATGTTCACTTTGGTATGCTTAGATCCCCTCCCGCCAGTTGCTGATGTTGCTGGACCATTTGCACTAGCAGGAGCTCCCTCTCCGCTCTCCACTCATCGACCCCCCAATCACCCTGCAACCTCAAAAGTCTCCAACACCATCCAACACCCCCCTACCACTCACCACCATACTACCCTCCCTTATCCACACATCATCATCATCATCATCATCATCATCATCATCATCACCATCATCTTTTTTCTTTCTCTACGCTCACCGTGCGGCGATGGCGTGGACCCATGGCATTTTGCCAGTCCGCCGTGCCCCGTAGGGCCTTCAACCAAAACGAGATCCGAGCAGAAGGGCAAGTGTTGTGTCCTGCGCCCTCTGCTTTTGTCCGGATCTCACAAGCAAATGAAGGCAGATGAACTGCCTGATGCAGGGACAGGAGTGACCATCAAGCTCCGATTCACGGAGCCTCTGGTAGGGCTGGCATGCACACCAGCGGGTGGCCAGGGCCTCAGCTAGGAAGAGCTCAGCACAACGCGGCTCCATGGAGCCTGCTGCAAGCCAAAGGTCTCGATGATGGACTGCATAATGCCCAGCCAGGTCAGCAGGCCACGTTTGGCAGCAAATGCATTTCTTGACGAGCCGATGACAAAGTTCAGGATGCGTCACCAAGAGCTTGATGTCGAGCAAGTCCAGGGCCTGAAGCCAGTCCGCGTGCCATGGGTCCATCGGAGTGGTGTCCTTCAGCACATTTTGGATCTGGTCATCCTTTGTCAGCACAGGGGCCTCGTAGGCCGGGAAGGAAACAGGCTCATCACCTCCTTGAGTCGTGCAGGTGAGCCATAGCACGCATACGTTCTCCAGCACAACCTTTGGGAGCTCCCTGAATGGCTGGGGCTCGTCAGAGTCGTTGTAGACCCACCAGATCTCCTTGTCCTTGAGAGCTGCTGCATAGTGACCGGAAGAAGAGTCCACACCTAAGTGGTAAGCCAAGGCACAAACGACATACGGCACGTTGTCCAGCTCCAGGCTGTTGCCGATGAAGTGAGGGATCCAAACCTTAGAGCTCCAGTGCACTTTGTTGCAGCATTTCTTGCCAAAAGAATCAAATCGATCCAGTTGAACACAGGTGAGGTCTGCTGGACTGACTAAGGCGTGTAGGCCAAAGCTTGCCATGCTCCAACTTGTCAGCAAGGTTTGCAAGTCAGTGGATCCGGACTGCTTTTTGCTTTCTCCCTGCGGGCTCACGTGCAGATGCAAGGGGCAGCTGTTGTCATTTTGATCGACCACCCTGGTGTGACCATCCTGGTCAAGCCTGGATTCCCACCAACAGCTGAAGAACATCGGATTCAACAGTTGAAGTATGTGGTGAGTGAAGTCAACAACATCATGCTGCCTGAAGGGATCCGGCCAGTCAGCCAAAAGTGTTGTCCATTGGCCATTGGCCCAGAGCAAAATCGATTCCCCATCGTAAGGTTCAGCAATCTGGCTGAACACCCCAGGAAAGTTGGACCAGAGGTCCGTTCTCAGGCCATCGACCTGAGATGCTCCCCAAACAAGCCCAGTGACGGCAGCATTCATATAGCAGGCTGTGGATGGGTTCGTCAGCGTCTTCAGAGGAGGTGTCATGTCCTCGAGGCTCAGAGAGAATCCAGCATGCGGCACAGGTGTTGTGCCAGGGGTGTCCTTTGCATCGTTGCTGGGCGCATCCTTGCCAGAATCAGCTGCCATAGGCCCGTGTTGGCTAGTTGGTGCCAAAGCAAAGCCCTCTCAATTCGTTCGAGTAGGTGTGAATCAGGGCCAGTGTCACCCTCCAGGGAATGACCGCTGAGGGGTTCTCGGAGTCCGTGCCGATGAGCTTCTGAATCTGCTGGTTGGGTCGTAGGGCATGAAATCTCTTGATCAGAGCCTCGTTCTGTAGGAGAGTCAGCATACGTTGTAAGGTATGCAGTGCCAAGGAAAGTGAAACCTGGGCCTCCGTCAGGGCCTGCACCTCGTTCTTGTTGTGGTCCCATTTCATGCGGGGAAACAGGTAGGGCTCCTTCTGGTCCTCTCCCAGTTGAAGAAAGCGGAGCTTCACCAAGGTCTGGATCACGTGATCCGAGGAGTCTGTCGATTGCAGCTTGAGTGTCCGGCTGTGTAGTTCCTCGAGCATCGTCTTCAGGATCAGGATTCTCAGTGGCAGAGAGCGCTCCTCCTGGGGAGCCTGGTGCCACTCCGAGGTCTTGGTCATCAGAAGCTTGAGAATGGATCCTGGACCCGCGCTCAAAAAAAAAGTAGAAGTCCGTCTCCATGGCCAGACACTGAAGGCTGTCTTAGTGACGTAGGACGAGCTTGGACAGGGTTTTGGAGTAGCATCTTTGAATCTTGTGTGTGTTCTTCCTTGATGTTCTGCTTCTTCCCCTGGCCTTTTCTTCCTTTTCCTTTGCCCTGGCCCTTCTCGCCATTCGACGTGGTGGACCTCGCCCTTTTTGGGCGGTTCTGGTTCTCCTCGTCGACCTCCATCTTCATCCAAGTGTCCAGGGCTCCCCACATCTCCGACACTTGGCCGCTGCTGTCCATGACCATGATGCAAGATTGTCAACAGGGCCGCTATTTGCAAGAGTACTGGGCACTGAGCTGCGGCGGGATGAGATTCACAAATCGAGCATGTTTGTTGCCGTAGCTGAAAGAACGTGAGGTACTTTTGAAAAGGCTGCCCCTGTTGCAGTGTTTTGCATGAGAGTTCCAGAGATGTTGCAGGAGGTCCCTTGGATCAATCTTTCGGCCACAAAGACTACACCAGGAACTGAGCGCAGTACAGAGGTCTTTGTCCTGAAGGAGCAGCTCAAAGTGTCCTCTGGTAAGGTTGGTGTCCAACTCCGGGAAGTTCAGCTCCAACGTGGGACTGAGAACCTGAAGATCAAGCTTGAGTGCATGAGTGAGAACCGTGCCAGCATGAGGTCATAGTGGACGAAGAGAGCGAGCTGGGAAAATACTGTGCACACATGAGGTTGGTGTGGAGGTCGTAGGCAAGTGCATCCAACATTCCTCAGTGCACTATTGGTTTGAAGCCATTCGGCATAGGAGGTGATCGAGTCCCATTGGCGACCGTGAGTGGAGCTGATGTGCCTGAGAAGCGTGGTTGAGCTAGTGGACTGATGGCCACATAGTCCACAGATGTGTCCAAGTCTCCTGAGCAAGGATTTGTATCCGGTCAAGTGGTCGAAGGTGCCCCCGTGAAGACCCGTCACAATGACAGGGTGATGCCACAACAGAGGTGGGTCGTCAGGAAGCGGAACCTGGCAGTGACCACCATCAATGTGATGCTTCAGCGCCGCAAGGCATAGGAATTCATTGTCACAATGTGCACATTGATTACGACCAGGAACTTGGTCACGATTGGCTTGGAAGGTCCTGGCTGTAGTCGTGTGTGGATGCTCAAGGGACTGATGTTGATGAAGACCTGCCATGGTCACAAACTTCCGAGGGCAGGAGGCGCAAGAGAATTGGGCATCCATCCGCTGTGGTGGTTGCGGAACAGGAGGAGGGCTGTCAGGACAATCGGCTCGATGTCGTCGGTCAGCCAAAGCGAGGCCGAGTTGTTTCTTCACAGGACAGGTGTGTGTCCGGGATTTGAACTCTTGACCACAAAGTTCACAAGGTGAGGGCATCCGAGCTCGGGTCACGTTAGGAAGGACCTCGGTCATGAGATTGTATGCCTCTGGGTGATCACGTCCCATGTGTGCAGACATCTGTTGAAGTCGAGCTGACCAGAACCCACAAAGGATGCATCTCTGAGAAAGAAAGTAGCAGAGTTCTCTGTCCTGTCGAAGAGGTCGAAGATCTCCTTGGTCATGATAGGCCAGGAGCTGTCTACGATGTGCTTGAAGTTGTTCAGGAGGTGCCTTGGCTGAATCAAAGCTGGGACATGCAAATTGCCTGATGTGATGCTTGAAGTTCTGCCAAGAGATGAATGTTTCACCACAATGTCGACACAATGGTCGTCCATCAACTGCATCCCTAGCAATGTCCAGTTCAGGACCCGCTGTGGGAACAATACCATGTGTGTACAGTTCATGTCGTCGAAGAGTGTACAGGTGTCTGAAAGTTTGACCGCATTCCGGACAGTCAAGTCCAGCCTCCGCTAGTGGAAGTGAGAGAGCAAGATCATGATCATCAAGGTCCTGCAACCAGATTTAAGTGGAGCGCTGCTTGCAACCCTGTAGTGTCAATATGTTTGACAATGTCTTGTTGCGCAAGCTTCTCCAGTCTGGCGTCGTGCCGCGATAATTGTGCTGCCATGCGGTTCCGCAAAAAGACAACCGGATGTCGGAGATTGTTCCCAGTAAGAAAATCTGCGTTCTTGACGTGTGTGAGAAATGAGTGTTCTCTAAGCGCTTGTCGAAGTTGTGGAAGAAGAGCCTTCGAAAATAAAGGAAGAGTAGTGTGATCAACTCCCACTGAATCCAAGCCATACAATGCTATTGGAAGAACACAAGTTTCCCACAAAGACAGCTTCTGAGCCACATGTAGAGAGACTTTGCTAAACCATGTCTTCATCTGGCGATGTCTGTTTGTGCATGCTTTCAACCGCTTCTTCATAGTTCCCCGTAACATTTGCTTGTATCCAATGGAAATGCCAAGATAGTCTTGGTGCTCTCTGAGAGGAATCTCATAGTGTGCTGTTTGCCTTTTTGGAATCTTGAGGTAGGTCTCGTGTTGAGACTTGGTCACATAGGCTTGGGTAGCCTCTGTGCGGGATGAGCCGCGCCATTGTATGATAGCGGCTGATTTGGACATGTTCACTGTCATTCCAAGTCTTTCCAGAATGTCAATGAGACAACCAAAGAATTTAAGTCCTCTGTGAAGTTCTTCCAGGGTGCGAAAAACAAAGCAAGCATGACCATCATCAGAATAAAAAGTGCAGTTGTTCCGCATCCAGTGAACATCAGTCTCATTTGCCACATGTTCAAGGACCAAGGCAATGAAGCAGGCCCAAAAGAATGGGGCGCCCCGACAACCTTGGCGAATGCCTTTGAACGTTGCTTGTTCCGCTTCCAGTCCTTTCCACTGAATTATGTATGCTGTTTCAGTGTGCCAGGTGAGAAGAACCAGTATCAGGTCTTCAGGAAGATTCAACAAGCAGAATGCTGCCAAGAGATGTTCTCGTGGCATGGCATCAAAGGCCCCTGTAAGGTCCAAGAAAAGTTGGCAGCCACCGTAAATCTTGGGGCGGCCAGAATCCCCTCTCACCGAGTTGTTGGCGTCGTACTTCCATCGAGCCAGCATGGTTTGAACCTCACGGACATGTGCTGTCACCCGTGTGATTGCTTCCCAAGTGCCACGTCCAGGAAGATAGGCAAATTCAGGAAGAGCATGCAGCTTGGCACAGTGTACAAACAAAGACATGACTGTTTTCGAGAGAGGAGTTTGTAGAGCTATGGGTCTCAGTGCCTTGGGCTCAGTGGGAGGTTTATTCGGCTTAGGAAGCAGCACAACCCAACCACGCCTCCATTCCAATGGAATCACCCCCATGGGAGAGCCACGTTTGGCACCAAGAGGTCATCAGCGGACCAAGATCATCAGCCAACTCCTTCCAAACAAAGCTGGGAGCAATGTGAGGTGGAACTCCAGTCCGTGAAGAGAGGGCCTGAAGAGCCCGTGTCATGTCCTGGGCCTGAAAGGGCAAGGACTCCATCAAAAAAGGAGGGAGGTCCAAGTCCTCTCCTTTATAGATGTCTTTCATGTATTGTGAGATCCAGTCCAGTTCTTCTTGTGGTGACATCAGCAAACCTTGTTGTTGTCGAAGTTGAGGTCGTCGAACATGAGTCTTAGGGGTAAGTTGATTCACCAGTTTGAAGTAGTGGTGAGTCCGGTTCAGGGCCCAAAGACGTCTAGCTTCAGCAATGGTGTTGTTCAACTTGGAAAGGTTTGCCTCTTTGGCCTTCTGCTTGGTGAGACGTCTCCACCGGCTAATGTGTGTTCCTCGCAGCCAAGCAGCAAAAATACGGTGAAGCCGTGAGGCACCAGGTGGTGGTTCCGGAAGGTCTCTGATGGCAGGAAGGTCCAAGGCCCATTGCCAAAAAGGTCGATTCCTGTGCAAGGCGGGCATGTGCATGGTATTGTTGGAGGGTTGGAAGTCGTGACAAGCCTCCAGGATGGTGTTGTTCAGAACCTCGAGGTTTGGAGGTTGGGCGTGAAGTTGTTGGACCTTGTAGCCCAAGTGAAGAATCCAGGAGCCCCATTGTTCACTGTCAAGTTCCCAATGTTGAAGCAAAAGGTTCTTCTTCGTTTTGGTGAGACCCAAAATGGGTTGTCTCCAGGCTCTCCACTTGTAAGGGATGTTGAACATGATGGGAACATGATCCCTGGAGTGACCAAACCGACGAGGAAGTTGATCCAAGTAGATGGGATGTTTTGCAAGAGAGTCACTGGTTTTGTGCTTGACCAAAATGAAGTCGATTCTAGAGGCTGATCCTCTATTGCCCAAAAACGTGGGACCAAGTCGCGTGTCCCATGTGTTGATGGCCAAGAGACCGTGCCTTTGAAGGAGGTCCCGAAACACTCCAGAGTCAGGATGACGGGGTCTCCTGTGTCTACCTGAGTCCATGTGGAAGTCGTTGAGACCCACACAATGTGGAGTATGGTCTAAGCCAGTGTTCCAGTCTCCAGCCAGTACCGTCACGTTCCGGCCCGGTGATCCCTTGAGAAAAGAGTCACAAAGATTCCAAACCTCAGTTCTGTTGGAGAGGCATTGAGGGTCCTGAGTACTCCAAGCAAATTGGTAGACGTTCAGGATGTCAATTGAAGAGGAAGACATGTAGAGCCTTACATGAAGTGCCCTGCCCTCTTTCAGCTCTCTCCAGCTGATCCTTTCCAAGGAGCAGAAGGACCGGCGCACGATTGTGAGAACTCCGCCAGACCAAGTTGTCGAGCCACTGTGTATGTATGCAAAATGATCATCCATCCAGTCCCCGCTGAAACCCCATCTAGTGTCCTGAATCATCAACACTTCAAGTTGAAGAGGGATCATCCATGATTTCAGAATGTCCAATTTGTAGTTGCTCAGGCCTCCTATATTCCAGGTGAATCCACTGAACCTATTGGCCTTGAGTCTGGAGCCAGGTTTGGATGGAGTCGAGGGAGTCACATCCGCAGTGCTCGGAGGAGGAGACTCTATCTGAGTGGTCCCCAACATGGAGGCGCTGTAGAGGCGGCCTTTGTACCATGTCATGCCATGAAGTTGAGCCCTTTTGAGAGCACGAAGAAAAGCTTTCTTCTTGGAGTTTGGTTGTACAACATGGCGGTTGAAGGAGGGTCCAGTGCCACTAAGCTTTGCCCCGTGTGAAGTGGACAAAACATGCAATCGTTGGGCTTCACTGACACCCGTGGCGGCGTCAGAACCCTCGGGCCTCCAGGGCGTAGCTTGAGGATTGAGCGTGCTCGTGAAGGTCATTCCAGGGTGTAGGACCACACCAACAAGGAGGAGCACAGAGCAGTGAGTTCGCGCCCTGGCCGGGGACTTGGGACCCCGGTGAGTGTTCGGACCCTTGCAAGGACCGTGGGAAGGCCAGCTTGGACACAGAGAGCAATGCCTCCAAGTAGAAGAACCGAACAGGTAGGTCACAAAACCAAGAAGGACCGTGATGCTAAACAATTCCACAAAGAGCTCGGAAAGGCAGAGGTCCAGGCCCAGGTAGCTAGAGGTCGAGTCCAAGAAGGGTGGTCCGGCAGGAGGATCTTGAGATAGTTGGATGTAGTCCCGGTTCACCAGGAAGAGGTGCAGCAAGGTCGTCACAAAGGCCAGGATGACCATGGACGAGAGTGGGGAGCCGCACCAGCCCTGGCCTTTGGGCAAGACCAGGGCCTGAACACTCATGGCCCTTATCATCATCATCATCATCATCATCATCATCATCATCATCATCATCATCAT